TGGACATGTTTGTGTAGCACATAGGACGTATAAGATTGATTATTAGATTACATCCTCCATGGTAAAAAATAATTAGCAAATTAATGTCTTAGGGTTGTATTTATTCTTCTGCCATAGAAATGAGTGTTTCTTCATTCCTGATAACAGTAAGCAATGGCTATAGGCTTTCAGTACATCAATTCAGTCAGACCCTTTCCATTGAGCTTTTAGTGAGAACTTCACCATGTGGAAAGCACTGTGTGCTGGGCTTTTGAGGACAAGGAACATAGCTTAATGGTAAGCTCTATAGAGTTAAGAGGCAAAAAGTCCCAGATTCAACTCTGGTTCTATGCCTGTTACTATTAAATTGTGAGACCTTATGAGATTAGTAACAGTATCTACTTTATAGATGTACTGCTAGGATTAAATCAGAAAATGTACATAAGGAATGTCACAACCCACCACATACCAATACTCAAACATGTTAGCTCCTTTTATTAATTAAAGCAAGTCCACAGCCATTTATAGGGTATTTCAAAGTGGTAGCTGAACCCAGATTCACATAATGCCATCAATGATGTGGAAAATAAAAGCTGCCTCTGGTATTCTCTAGGTTCATCACATGACAATATTTCTTCTTTTTCATGTCTGAATAATATTCCATTGTGTGTACATGTGTGTATACGTGTGTGTGTGTGTGTATACCACATCTTCCTAAGTGAAGTAAGGCAGGCAGAGAAAGACAAACATTATATGATATCATTTATATGTGAAATCTAAAAAATAATATAAATGAATCTACACACAAAACAGAAACAGACTCACAGACATAAGAAAATGAACTTATGATTTCCAAAAGGGGAAAGAGTAGGTGGATAAACTAGGAGTATGGGACTAACATATACAAATAACTATGCATAAAATAGATGAGCAACAAGGATTTACTGTATAACACAAGGAACTACATCCAATATCTTGTAATAACCTTTAATGGAAAATAATCCATATATATATATATATATATATATATATATATATATATATATATAACTGAATCACTCTGATGTACACCTGAAACTAACACAATATTGTAAATCAACTATACTTCAATTAAAAAAAATACTGCCTCTGTGAATTCAAACATTTGTGATCAACAAAAGAAGACATTTTAAAAACATGTGTCTTTCTAGAAAACAAACTTATGGTTACCAGGGGGGAAGGGGATGGGAAGGGTTACATTAGGAGTTTGAGATTTGCAGATACTAACTACCATATATAAAACAGGTAAACATCAAGTTTATACTGTATAGCACAGGGAACTATATTCAATATCTGGTAGTAACTTATGGTGGAAAAGAATATGGAAATGAATATATGTATGTTCTAGTATGACTGAAGTATTGTGTTGTACATCAGAAATTGACACAACATTGTAAACTGACTGTACTTCAATAAAATTATATTAAATATATATATATATGTCTTTCAATAGAAATACATTAAAAAGAGAGGATAAAGAGCCATGATGGTTGAAAAGACCCCATCACTGGTATGTCTCCCAGCAGAAGTCAAAGAGCAGAACTGAAGGACCTAAATAATTGTGAGTTTCCCTAAAACTCAGCCTGCTAAGAGAAGAATGAACCTCAACTGCCAATCACAAAAGCAGGGAAATCAGAAGATAAGACAGCTGCCTTTATGTACCGAAGGGTAAAGAGAGGGGAGAGAAATGGCATCCAAAAGCACAACTCAAAAAGGAGAGACTTCTTTTATTTTTGTATTAGTTGTTACCCGTCTTTGTCTCTATATGCATTTGCTTCGACCTCACTGCATGCATTTCAATTTAAGTCCTTCAAGTCAAAGAAAATTCTAGATGAGTGACCTGTCTTTAATTTATTTAGTACAGTGGCAAGCAAACTACCTATGCCAGAAATGGAAGTAGAACCATACAAACGTTTACTAGGTATTTGTTTTTTCAATCATCAACTTTTAATAAGTCACCCAGAGAGGGCAGAACAATTCATATCATATTTTTGAAACTAATCCACTTAGGTTAAGCGAAAGACTTCTTTGAGTGTCTGGTCATAATGTCATTCGTCACACTAATTGTATTTGCTTGGTCAAATTCTTGAGTTCTGTGCATCTCGATGTGCTTACATGTAGGAAGAAAGAGCTGTGCTTGATGATCTCATCAGACAACATCAAATCTGAACTTGTTTGATGTTAATTCCATTCAAAGCTATCAGAACCTGAAGAACACTTTTCACTCGGGAGCTTTCTTAACTCAAGCACAAATACCTGAAAGAACACCTTCACTTTTGTTGCTAAGTTAAAACAAACCGTGAACTCAAATATCGAGGAGACTTCTTCCTCTCTCGATGAAGATCTTTAATTGTTACTTTTGAATTACCTAAACAGAAGAATATAAGATCCCAAGAGAATCAGTGCCTTGGCAGTGAGGTAAAAATGAATAAAGGAAGATCGAAGACTTTTAGCAGGACATGAAACTATTTTGTGAACTATAAGTTGTCCTCCTTCCGTGTAAAAATGAAATACGAATTTACAGCCAAATAAATTATCTAGAAAATGATCTTGTAGGATCTTGGCTGGAAAACCAGGCAGGTAAAAGCATCATCATTTGTTTGCACTGGTATAAAATTCAAGCAATAAGCCAGTAAGGTATTTATAATTTTTACATTGATCCATTCAAGCAACGTATTGAAATATACACAGATGAATCAAAATAATTAAGAATGGAAGGACAACTGGAACTGACGATAAACTTCGAAGTATTTCTAGGAAAACTTCAGTTATGCTTTTGATATCTTAAAATATTTCTAAGGCACCCTTATATCCACCTCCGCCCCTACCCCACCTCTCACAGCCCCTCCCATGCTAAACTCTGGGCTTTGTCTGATTAATTTCCTTTATCCTCCCACAAGACCTTGGGCAAATTACTCTCAGTGGCAACACGTGTGGCTCTGTGTAAAACTTGTGACTTCCTGTTTGCTGGCACCACTAGACCATGAGATCTCTTAGGGCAGACACTGAACTATTTTATCTTCGGGTGGCCAGTATCTAATGCAGAGTAGGTATTGAGTAAATTCTGCTGAATAAATAAACCGAAGTAATAACATTACAGAAACCACAGAGCCTTTGATAAGAGAAGTAGTTTACTGGAGCTTCTGGATAACATAAATTTTCTCCTCAGGACAATATGTTTATCTCTCATTTCCATCTCATGAGATAGGGAGGATACGCATTT